TGGGGGGGGGGGGGGGGGTGTTAGAGACGCACATTCACCTGCTCAAAACAAAAACATCAAACAGCAAAAAGGTATCAGTTGTGTCTGTACAAAGCCCACTCAGACAGCCCCACATCCTCCGCTCCCTGACACCACACACCACCACACCCACACACTTGCACAGGGACAGTTGCTCGCTTTTAAGGACAAGCGGGCTAACCCAGATTTCGAGGGTTTCCAGAAATCTTGACCTACACCAAAAGTAGACATTGCCCTACCTATAGGAGAAGTTTGGTTTCATTGGTGTGTGTATTTGTTTGGTTATAGAGAAAGCTCTCCTTGTCTTTTAAAGAAACTGAACAAGGGGCAAAAACTTTACCTTCGATTTTCTCAAAAAAGTATTTTTCGGGATAGCCCCCTTGTGCTTAAAAGCGACCATTTTCCATTGTTCCTTGGCCACCAAATTTAGTGTTCAAAGCGCACAACTAAAAACACAGTCCAACCTGCTCCAACGGCTACCTGTCCAAGAAAATCACCTGTAGAAACGACCACTTCACTTCCCGTTTCTTCCCCTCCTCGCGTTTAAAAAACCCCAAAATAACTGGGTGTCCTTATTCTGGCTTAAGGGAGCCCAAATTAAAAACACACTCCCTTTTTTTTTTCCACGATACTGTCCAAGACTCAACTGTCTAAAAAGCCAACCACTTCCCCCTGGCAGGGTGTAGGCCACATACAAGCTCCTTCCATTTTCTCTGTCCTGGGCCATCCTTCCACCCCTGGCAGGGCATAGGCCACATACAAGCTCCTTCCATTTATCTCTGTCCTGGGCCATCCTTTCACCCCTGGCAGGGTGTAGGCCACATATAAGCTCCTTCCATTTATCTCTGTCCTGGGCCATCCTTCCACCCCTGGCAGGGTGTAGGCCACATACAAGCTCCTTCCATTTATCTCTGTCCTGGGCCATCCTTTCACCCCTGGCAGGGTGTAGGCCACATATAAGCTCCTTCCATTTATCTCTGTCCTGGGCCATCCTTCCACCCCTGGCAGGGTGTAGGCCACATACAAGCTCCTTCCATTTATCTCTGTCCTGGGCCATCCTTCCTTGCTCGTTCCAAGTGAGCTTCACCTCTCTCATGTCCCTTTCCACACATCTCCTCCATGTTTCCCGTGGCCTACCCCTGCCTCGTCTGTCACACGTGGCAGTGAGGAAACCTGTACTGATGTAGCCAACAACTTGCCACAGTGAGGAAACATGTACCGATGTAGCCAACAACTTGCCACAGTGAGGAAACCTGTACTGATGTAGCCAACAACTTGCCACAGTGAGGAAACATGTACCGATGTAGCCAACAACTTGCCACAGTGAGGAAACCTGTACTGATGTAGCCAACAACTTGCCACAGTGAG